CAGCCAATCAAGTGACTTCTAAGCTTCTTTTAGAAGCCTCTTTTATAGATAAAAGAGGATTCAGAATATGGGTCAATGTCTTTATGCAAGAGTGTGTGCTCCCCGCTTTATGGCTCCTGCACATAGGACGCAGTAATGCTTGCCATGCGGCGGAAGTTCGCGCGACAGCCAATCAATATGCTGCTTTCCGTAATAACTTTTTAGCTCTTACGGAAAAACAACATATTGATTGGCTGTCGCGTGGACTTCCGCCGCGCGACAAGCATTACCGCGTCCTATGTGCAGGAGCCATAATACAATATATAATATCACACTATAATACGTGCCCAACTTTGGATGCTTTCCAGCTACGTTACCTGTGTACATACACAAAACCAACACTTTTCGATTAATGTATTTTTTTTAAACCAATTAATTGGTCTCATTACTCCGCGCACAAAAGTATTAAGGTTATGATTACTGAAAACTAAATAATATTTTACAAGATATTTTACATTTTGTGTCAAAAAATTGTTAACTTCAAACTTTTATAATTCAAAAAGTACTTAATGAAAAAATGTTTTATTCTAGCGTTTTGGAGAGCTCTCGAGATAAGCTATATGAATATGCAATAAAATGTAGGGAGTTCCATTTAAAAAATAAAGATGACCTTGAAATGACCTTGAAAGACATGGTCAAGGTCAAAGTCAAGGTAATCATCTTACTCCCCGCTTGAAACCATACAACTTTGCTATTGGACATTTTCTCCAAAATGTATTCTAATTGAAGATATTAGGGGGGGTCCGATACTTTTCGATGACCCTATATATACATAAAGAGAGAGGAAAAATTATGAAAATCTATATTCAAAATATTATTAAAATATAGAAATATCTAAATATCTAAATATTTTCCATAATATTTATTGTAAACAAAAAATTAATATTTCGTAAATATTTCTATAAATATTGCACATGAAGAAAATAAATATAATTATTTATAATTATTAAATTAATAAAGAAATAAGAAAATCGAAATTTAAATTGGTAATGTACATTAGAAAAAAATTCTTTAAATGAAAAAAATATATTTTGTTGCATATAATTTCTTAACTTAAAAAAATATTTGTTAAATTTTAAAAAATATATAATAAATATAAAGAAATATTTTTTTAAATTTGTAAAATAAGCTGTAAAATTATGAATTTATAAATAAAAAAAGTGATTTCTTTGATTTAAAATATCTATATATATAAGAATAAACAAATGATTTCTTTACAAGGAGGAAATAAGTGTTTTTAAATGTAAAAACACTAATTATGTTTTAAATTATTTTTATGTTTCAAATTAAAATTTCTTTTATTATCAGAAAAAAATTTATTTAAATTTACAAAATAATTTATTTTACTTACTTTTAAAACATGTAAATATTTTTTAAATATACTTTCTACATACTTTTTAAAACATATATTTTAAAAGAATCTATTCTCTTCTTTTAAATAAATCATATGCTTTCGTATATGGATATACCATATGTACACAATATAAAGCGTCTCTCAATCAAAATGACAGTGACGCAGTAGGTAAGGTGAACGACACAAGAATCAGCCCAAGTAACAGACTCACGTCAAAATGACGTAAAAAACTGGTCATAACTGGTCGAATGACGTCAAGTGACTAAATAACGACGTCTTTAAAACGTCTTTTTTGTGACATCTTAATGACGTTTCTGTATAACGTCTTAAAAACGTATTATTGACGTTTAGAGACGTCATAAAACGTCATTAAGTCGTCTAAAATGTCGTCATCGATCTGTGACATTAGACTATCATTTTGACGATATTCTCACGATATTTTTGATCATTCCTTGGTTATTTTTTATCCTGAACTTACTTAGATTTGGATGTCATTTTGACGTGTCTGCTACCTGGGAGAGGTCTCAGGCTCGAATCTCAGCAATGCCCATACAGCACAGAAGCTTGCAGCAACATTGCTACAACGTTGCAAGATTGCATATTGCAGTGCAATGTTGCAGAGACTTTGCAGTGACATTAATTTGCAATATTACTTTAGCAATATTGCAGTAATATTTAAAAAAATATTACGAATATAATATATTTTATTTATTTACTAGTTATTTTTGTTACTTGTATTTCAAATTCAGTAATGTTTTACATCAATAATACTTATAGAATAGTACTTAGAATAGCACTCGTTAGTGGCAATCATTAATTTGTCTTATTGCATATTTTTTATACTTCTTATACCGTTTTTTCGGA